TTAAAAGGTGTGTTTTAAGCCATTTTTGCAGACAATCTCTGAGCTGTAGATCAGCCACACCCCAGCATCTGGCCCAGAGGATCTAGAGAAGCAGGGATGTTAGGACAGTGAAACATGTATCAGGGAAGCCGTATATATATCGGTAACACTATAAGAAAAGGATCCCATCAACCAGACAGAGGTGAAGAAAGGGGGAAAAAAACTAAACAAACCCAACTACAGACCACATAAACCAGCAGAAATATGCCAGAGAGAAGAATCCCCACATTAGACCCCCCAGAGGAGAGAGAACATGTGGATTAGTAGGTCTCTTCCATCTTAGATTTCTCTTGACTTTATGGCACTCACACATCTTTGCATAATACTGAAATAACTGAAAGACATTTTCGAATCACCCCCTCATTCTATTCAACACATGGCCATTATGGCCATTTGCCCACCATCAAAGTTTTGACAAAAATGTGTTGAACAGCTCTTCTGTCTGTGCCTTGATTTTCTCCATCTGTAAAATGGGGAGAATTGTGTTGAACACCTTCGTAAAAGAGTTTGCTTTGCTTTGAGATCTATGGATAGAAAGCACTAAGTATTATTACTCAATATATTATTCAAAACTGTTCATAGATTCCAAGACCAGAAGGGACCATAGCAATAATCTAGTCTGTCCTCCGTTATAACACAGGTCATAGAACTGCCCCAAAATAATTCCTATAGCAGATCTTTCAGAAAAATACCCATTCTTGATTTAAAAATTGTGATAAAGAATGCACCATGACTCTTGGTAAGTTGTTTCAATGGCTAATTACTCCCACTGTTAAAAATGTTCACTTATTTCCAGTCTGAATTTGTCTAGCTTCAACTTCCAACCATTGGATTGTTATACTTTTCTCTGCTAGATTGACACACCCATTATGAAATATGTGTTTTCCGTGTAGATACTTATGGACTGTAATCCAGTCACCCTTTAACCTTCTCTTTGTTAAGCTGAATAGTTTGAGCTCATTGAGTCTATCACTAGAAGTCGTGTTTTCTAATCTTTTACTCATTAATGTGGCTCTTCTCTGAATCCTCTCCAATTTATCAACATCCTTCTTGAATTGTGGACACCAGAACTGGCCATGGTATTCCAGCAGCAGTTGCAGCAGTCTCAAATACAGAGGTAAAATAACATCTCTGCTCCTATTCAAGATTTCCCTGTTTATGTAACCAAGGATCACATAGCCCATTTGGCCACAGCATCGCACTGGAAACTCATATTCAGCAGATTATCCATCACAACATAAATTCCGTCTAAGCTGCGCGGCCATGCAGCAGGCTATCAAGGGCTATGCAGGCAGGGAGGGGCGCCCCTCCCACATCCCCAGCCCAGCCTGGCCGGAGCTGCCGCAGCCAGATGCAGTGAGAGAGGGCTGGGGGGGGAAGTCCTCTCTCCCCCGCCACAGCCCTGGGGCAGCCTGCATCCCAAACTCCTCATCCCCGGCCCCACTCCAGAGCCTGCACCCCTAGCCAGAGCTCTCACCTCCCTGCACCCCAACCCTCTGCTCCTTCCCTGAGCCCCCATCCCACACCCTGAACCCCTCATCCCTGGCCCCACCCCAGAGCCCTCACCCAACACACCCCAACTCTCTGCCCCAGCCTTGAGCCCCCTCCCACACTCCGAACCCCTTGGCCACACCCCCACCACACATCACCTCCATATTGGTGCACATAACAAAATTCATTCCACACATGCATGTAAAAAATTAGAGGGAACATTGACCACAACCCACAAACCTTTTTCCAGAGTCACTGTATCATGTAAGTATGGCCTATGCATCCCCCATCATGTAAGTATGGCCTACATTCTTTGTTGCTAGATGTATACATTTACATTTAGCTATATTAAAATGCATACGGTTTGCCTGCACCCAGTTTACCAAGCGATCCAGATCACTGTATATCAGTGACCTGTCCTCTTCATTATTTACCACTCTCCAAATTTTTGTGTCATTTGCAAACTTTATCAGTGATGATTTTATGTCTTCTTCCAGATCATTAATAAAAATGTTAAAAAGCTTAGGGCCAAAAACAGATCCCTGTGGGACCCCATTAAAACACACCCGATTGATGATGATTCTCTGTTTACAATTACATTTTGAGCCCTGTCAGTTAACCAGTTTTTAAATCCACTTAATGTGTGTCTCATCTTAATTTTATATATTTTTTTTATTTTTTTAATCAAAATGTCATGTGGCACCAAGTCAAATACCCTACAGAAATCCAAGTATAAAACATCAACATTGCTACCTTTATCAACCAAACTTGTAATCTCATCAAAAAAAGATATCAAGTTAGTTGGACAGAATCTATTACCCATAAATCCATGTTGATTGCATTAGTCATATTACCCTCCTTTAATTCTTATTAATCGAGTCTCATATCAGCCACTTCCTTATCTTGCCAAGGATCGATGTCAGATTGACAGGCCTATAATTACTTGGGTCATCCTGTTTGCCCTTTTTAGATATTGGTGGTCTGGTGCCACTTTGAGCTGGTGTGTCCTGATCTGTGGAGAGCTTGTTTCTGATGATGAGCTTGGAGAGGTTGGGGGTTTGGAACCGGCCACCCAAATACCCCAAGAGAACCTGCTTCAATACAGAAATACCCCTCCTTCAACCACACACCTCTAGTTGTCACCTACCACCCCACAATGGAACCCATATGGGGTATCACCAAACAACTACAACCCATACTCGATGAGGACACTATCCTAAAAGAAATCTTTCCTGAACCCTCTCTTCTGACCTTCAAAGAAGCCCCAACCTCTCCAAGCTTATAATCAAAAGCAAGTTCCCACAGACCCGATCACACCAATTCAAAGCGGTACCAGACCCTGTCAAAACAGATGCAAAACTTGCAGACACATCTCCACTGTTACAATGATCAATAGCCCTCACAACACCTTTCAAGATTCATTGGTCCTCCACATGCCTATCAGAACATGTGGTGTACCTCATCCCATTCACTAAAAGCCCCAATAGCAACTGTGTCCAGGGTGAAATCAGACAATCACTACGTTCTCAAATGAACTCACTCACAGAGTAAAATGATAAAAGATGAAAACACCATATCACCAGTGATCACTCTATATCTGACCTATCACTCCTTATCTTCAAAGGAAACCTGCACAAAACAATTTCAAAAGACCAGCCTGGGAGCTTAAATTCATAACTTTGCTAGACACTAAAAATCATGGAGAGAATAGACACACTGGATTTATGCCTTATTACAACAATCTGAAACCCACTAACACCCCCCCACACCCAGCTTTCCCCCACCTTTCCTTCTTATGACTGGAAGGGCGTTACCAGGCCACTTCACCTTGAACGGTCCCTTGAAACACATTAACTACTTATGTTAAACAATCAGTTCAAACCTAGTATTTAGCAGTGACACTTTGAGTTAGTTTCCCAGACCTGAAGAAGAGCTCTGTGTAAGTTCGAAAGCTTGTGTCTCTCACCAACAGAAGTTGGTCCAATACAAGATATTACCTCACCTACCTTGTCTCTCTAATATGTAAGTTAAGGCAGCTTTGAGAAAGTTATACTCAAAAGAATCTTTCTGATCAAATATGAATAGACTCCATACCACCAAATCCAGAAAAAGAAGAGAAAAAAAAAAAAGCCACACAGCCCACAGGAGGCATAACATCACCTTGTATTCCATGTAATTCCTTAAGAAGATAATTAGATTTTAAAAGGATTGAATTAAAATAAAATTGGAAATCACTTATAATACTTAGTGGTGAATTAGTTTCACAGAATAAAAATGCAATTCAATGCAAAAGTAATAAAAGTATTTAGACACCAAATATTTTCACTAAGAAAACAAAGCTTAAAGTACCACAATCAGAACCCCCCCCCCTCCAATTAAATGGCAAAATAATTAGTTTAGTAAAATTTCAATATATGTTTCTGGTTAATAACACTTTAAATATAAACAATGATCAAATAAATCAGCTCCAATCAACACAATTCTAGAAAAAGCATAACCAGCCTCTCTTCCATATTTTGAGCATGTGCATCTTCTGATAGATATTTAAAAGCCCTCCTTGGCTAGTCAGTGGGATGTGAACCAAGGATCTTTAGTACTAAAGCACAGAGCTAAAAGAAACTCCATTAGCTTGCGCAGAAATAGTCTGTTATCTTGGTGTGGACTAGATACTAGACATGGACACAACGTATACTTTATCTCTAGTGAATCTGTGACACATTTCTAACAATGGAAGTAGAGGGGTCTGAGGGCAATTTCCATGAGTTAATTAGAAGAGTCAAAATACAACACAGGGCCTGATTTTCCTCGTTTACACCAGCATAAGGAGTATGTCTACACAGGGTTGGGTGGTGTGAGTCCCAGCGCAGGTAGAAGTGCTTGGCACAACAGGCAGTGACTCAGGCTCGCTGCCCTAGTACCCTACCTAGGGAGTCAGGCAGGAGTGCACTCAGGCAGCTAGCCAGTTGCCACCCACGCTGCCACGGCCACGCTGCTACTTTTAGCATGCTAGCTCGGGCAGGCTGGGAATCACACCTCTCAGCTGTTGTGTAGACATATCCCTAGTCGGGAGCAACCGCAGTGGAATCACACTGGTTTGAAGCCAATGAAAGGATGTCCATTTAGTGGGCTTCAGATCAGGCCTTACGGGAGAGGACAATCAGGCCTATAATCTGCATTTGAAGAGAGGGCTGTCCTTTATTTTCATCTCCAGTAAGGATAATGTTTCTGTAACATGAACCATTAGCTTAGGTTCCTATAGACTTGAAGCCTTTGCCCGCACTAAATCATAAAGGTTTGTGCTGCACTGGGCTTTTGCTCAGTAATGACATTTGATGAAAAAAAACCAGAATCCAGGCTGTTCAGTGTCCTGAGCTATTAACCAGCATTTCTTCTCCCCACATACTCATTTTCGGTACTGAACCAAGACAATCCTTTGCTGATGGGAAGCCCAGTGCTCCTGGTTTTCTTACCTCAATGTCTTTTTCTATCTCCAGTCCAGCTTCCACCAGATTGCGCTCATACTCCTCCCTCTGCTCCCGTCTCTCCTCCTCTAGGGCATCCAGTGGGCTCATCTCGATCATCTGAGCCTCTGGCTGCCCATGTTGCTGCTGGGGTGCATTCTGGCCCTGGTTTTGCTGTTGCTCAGAGTGGCTTTTCCCCATCTCCCCATTAGAAATAATGGCTAAGGGCGAAGGTCTGTGCAAGGGACCTAGGGAGCCAATGCCTCGCTGGTGCTGAGAGGCACGTTTTCGGTAGTGATAGGCTAAGACGTAGTCCACTTTCCTCTTGCTGTCCCTGAAATGCTTCCCACCTGGGGATGTCCCACCTCTGGCCCCCACTTGGGTCCCATCCAGGTAATTGTTAATTTTCTGAAAGAGAAATAAACAAGTCTCAGGGAGACAAACCCAAAGACCAAGTAAGCAGCAGGGCTCAGGGCCTTACTCTTGTTCAGGTACATGAAAGCCTTAGCTAAGTAAATGATGGGGATTAACTGTAGATACGGGAAAGGAGCAATATTGAAGCAAGAGCTCAGATTCAGTAATGTAGAGCATCTCCTCTGTCTGCAAACCAAGAATGGTGACAAAACCCAGCAATTTCCAATCTGCCATGGTTTCCAAAAGGCCACAGAAACCTACATACTTTCCTCCCTCTCACTCACACATACTGAGCAAACACACTGACACCATGCCTTAGGGTTTTGTACTCACACCTTACACTCATATGTATCAGTGTTTAAGAGATGAATGCAATAGGAAAGTACTAGGGGTCATATTAGGGATTGGGGAAATGTTGTGGAGCAAGACTGTGCTCAGGGGGAACATGGGGCAATTTGTACTATGCATGGACGAAGTGCAGCAATCAGAGGGCTGAGCTGGGACATGGAGTTCAGCTCTTTATGGTGCCAGGAGGAGAAGCAGGACTGGGCTGGGCTGGGCACATGGGAAATGGTAGACAATAGGACAGTGGAGTGGAGGTTAGAGAAAATGCCACCTCTCACATGGACGGCTCAAAATGATGAATAATATCAGTATTGACATACATTATAATTAACTTTGAGATGAGATTGGTAGACTGTATGACCCACCAACATACGGCATAAAAAGAAAGAAAATACAAAGTTAAACTATTCAACACCCTATTACATCAGTTCCTCTTCTCCACCTCAGCTACCTCCTTTCCAGAGCTCACATATCTCCACCCTAAACACAAACAGCAACCGTGTAGCCTCAGCTCTGACCATAGCCAAAGTACATCAATGTGGATTCCAATTCTGTAATTTCTACATTAAAATCTAATCCCAAATTTAGAACAGTCACTCACAGCGTAGGTCACCCATTCACATACATTTTCCTAAGATATATATAAAACCCATCTCTCACTGCCACCATTTGCAATCTAACTTCATGCCCGGCTTACATACACTCCGATACAGAACTAGGTACAATGTAGTTTATAAAAGCTATGCCAGCACTAATGGGAATACATGATCTTATAAACAAATAATGTGGCCAGATTTAAGTTTACATGTTGGTTGTTCGGGATTGGGGTCAAGATATGTGGGTTGTGGAGGGAGGTATTTGAGAGTGGGAAGAGGAACTGATGAGTGTAGTGTAGATAAGGCACTGAATGGTTTAACTTTGTATTTCCTTTCTTTTTATGGTGTGTGTTGGTAGTGACAGTGTAAACAGGGTACTGAATGAATTAACTACTCCTTTCTATTTTTTTTTATGGTCTTAGTAGGCTCTGCCATCTAGCAACCTTAACTCAAAGTTAATGAAGTTTTCGTATAGGACTTTCACAGGTTTTAATGTGCATCAACACTGACAGTTATTCATATGGACAACTATGCAGGTTGATATGAATTTTATCCTGACATCTCCCATGTTCACCTCTACCACAGCTAAGCTTTGCCTCCTGGCTTCACACAAAACTGCTATAAACCTCCATATGCTTTTATAGATCCCTGGTCCCCCTGCATACAACCCCTCCATGCACAGATCAGACTGCCTCCAGGCTTCCCCCTTTGCACACTATACATATGCAATACTTACACAGTATACATATACTCTTTACACCTAGATTTACACACAGATTAAAAATACTTTGGAGACAGCATTTTATAACATGTTCCTATTCTATGGTCTGAATCCTTTTCATACTGTACTCACGGGCAGTCCCTGCAGACTCTCTGGATCCATCCCTGCCACAATGAAAACACCAAACCTCAGATTCCCAGCCTCCCTTCCAGAGAACTTCACGCAATACACTCCACAGGTAATGATGTCACCATCCCCTGGTTGCTGGCACCCACAGCAATCCAGGGAAATCCATTAGCTGGCTGTAGAAAAGATAATCTTCAAGTATTATCCCCCTCTTCCTCTTTATACATGGGTGTGTGTGTAGAATTGAGAGATGCACACAGAGGCCAGAAGGAAAGGGAATGAGGAAGGGTTGGGTAGATGAGTTGCTGAGGGTGTTTTCCTGTTTATCATCTGTAGGTACCCAGGTGCCTCATCCCAGCAGCTGCCACCTGAGAGGTCACCATAGCAACATCAAAGGGATGCTGCTGCTGTACCTACACAGAGAATGGGACTGAGCAGATTGCAGAGACACCTCTCTCTCTCTCTTTCTGTGGCTCATACAAGGCATAAAGATTTTGCCACATCAGTGTATTAAGACCCTAAAGTCAGTGGCAAAATTCCCACCGATTTCAATGAGAACAGGATGAGGTCCTTAGTTTGCAGTGCTTTCCTGAACCTGTACGAGTTTTTGCAATCAAAGAATTTGTGAGAAATGAAAACGAAATAAATAAGCAGATAAAATTGTTAGTAACAAGATTCAATTTGCAAAATATAAACAGAAAGAACTTTAAATAGCTATATATTCTGCCCACAACCTCGCTCATTCTCTCTTAGGGTGACCAGATGTCCCGATTTTATAGGGACAGTCTTGATATTTGGGGCTTTTTTTTTATATGGACTCCTATTACCCCCCACCCCCGTCCCAATTTTTCACACTTGCTATCTGGTCATCCTATTCTCTCTCTCTCATTGTAGAAATCAGTGTCTTGTAGGTGCACCATGCTGTTTTACTTAGAAAACTGAGTCTAATAATGGGGTCTGGGGTTCCATGTTTCTTAATGATTTCTGAACAATGGCACACAGTTTATTAGGTACATAGATCAGGGGATATGGTGGCAAGGGTTCTAACTACAAGGCCTGCAAATGTATCCTAGGCTCTACAAGTCAAGATGGATTCTTTCCTTCTCCCATGTAATAAAGGTTCTGCATCCAAGACTACAGCTGTATAACTCCACTGTCTTCAGATTCCACCCTCAGTGACACCTGTGCATATGACCTTCAACGGGTTTGCACAGGTGTAACTGATTGGACATCAATAAACAACTCTGCTGATGGTGCACAAGAGGGAGCAGAATCCAGCTCCCTCTCTCTGAGCTGTGTTGGGTCTGCCAGACCAACAGGAGTAAAAATGTAATATAGTGGCTGAAGTCAGTAGCTGTACCTCAGAATAGGCAGAGGAAGCAGATCTGTTGAGTAAGGTAGTGGCATTTTTTGCCTAGTTACTTTTCACAGTAAAGCCACGTTGTAAGTAATATATATAGAAGGAACATTCAATGCTCCCTCTCTCTCCCCCCCATCACCCCACCCCCACCTTCATCAAGAGCACTAGAGGAATAAGTCAATGATTATAATAATCCTACTTACAGAATTGTTGTGAGTCTCCATGCGGCCAGATGGCTCAAAAGCCCCATTGATTCTGCCAAAATGCACAGAAGGCCGGGTCTGAGGAACTGTGAGGTATTTGTTGTTGTAAGTTGAAGAAGAGCTCCCAATGGATTCTGCTCTTTGCTCTCCATTTTGGGTAGGATGCGAAGGCGTTAAAGGAATATCTGAGGGTCAAAGACAAAATTGTCAGCAGTCCATACATCTGCTTTTTGTGCAACCATGTCTGTAAATGACTGAGTCAGTGCGGGTCATAGGGACTTTCTGTCAGCGTGTATAGAACTTGAGTGTGTGGAGATGAGCATAAAAAAAGACCACATACACCCACAAAATGAAATGCCAGATATTTGTGTGTGACCTGCTGAATAAACAAACATTTTTCAATTTGCATACCTCAGCTGCACTGAAACCAAATATATTTGATAAAAACATTTCTGTCCTTGTTTCAGTGTTCAGAAATATTTTAATCTACTGGTTGAAGCACAGAACTAGACTTTAGAAGGTCTACGTTCTGCTCCAAACTCTGTAAATAATTCATGGCCCCAGCTTTGGCAAGCACAGGTAATTTCTCTGTGCCTCAGTTTCCCCCATCTGCAAAATGGGGATAGTTACTAACCTCAGAAGGTTCTTGAGATTAAATTCATTAATGTTAGTGAAATGCTTTCACATCCTCAAATGGAAGGTGATTCAAAGTATTAAATAGTATTAGGAAAACTACCATAATGTAATACAAAGGCTGCGTACCTGAACACTCCAAAGTCAAGAAATACAAAAGCCAAGGTTGAAAGTACAACATTTATTCTGGCTTTCCCTTGCAACAGAGATGGGCCAAATCAGAAACCTCAAAACCTGAATTTTGAATTTCAGGAGACGTTAGGTTCAGAGCACTGGATGCAATCCTGCTCGTCCTGGTTTGGTTCCATCTTTTATCCTGACCTGAAAGGGCTGATATTTCAGATCCAGTTTTATGCAGCCAAAATCTAGTGAGGATGAAGATGTCAGAAATCTAAGACTAATGGCTGATCTCCCAAAACTTCAACATTTTGAACTGAAATCTCATGAGAGGTTCTGGCATTGTTAAATCCCAAACCTAAATTGAATGGGCCTTTAAACCAAACCATTAACCCTAGCGAAGTTTAACAATCTGGGATTTGGACATCACGACCGTGACCCATCTCTTATATTGACATAGTTTCTAATCACAGACAAACAAGCCACACACTTTCCCCCTACAACCTTAGATAAATGTGTGTATATGGTACAGAGCTATGTACAGCTATGAGTGTATTGCACAAAAAGAGTGCTTAGTTATAAATAAGGAAAACATAAATAAATCACACTCCAGTGACAGTACAGAAAAATAGAGTAATGGTGAAGTATTTTGAGGGTTCCCGCCTATGTAACCCATACTGAGTGTTCTGTCCCCCTCTAACAGTGGTTGGGCCACAGATGAAAGTTGATCCCCTCATCTCAAATCACCGTATGGGCCACCACACATAATACAATACCCCTGGGTGAGTCATTGGGAGAAGCAGTTGAACCTGGGACCTCTGGTTCTTAAAGCATGAGTCTCTATGACCTGAAATAAGACCAAGATACATTAGCCAAGGCGGTAGCAGGTTCATCAACCTATGTGGCTCAGTCACCACTAGAGGGCAACAGAGCATCACACTAAATGGACATGGGTTACACCTCCCCCTGGGGGAAAGATGCGAGGAGCTACTGCCACATTGGAGAAGCCAAAGGGGAGCCTCTCCCACAACCCCAGGGAGTCACTGCATCTACAGTACGTTCTTGTGCCCTATTCTAGGAAGCATCAATGTATTGCAGCACTCTCCCTTCAATAGAGGAATGAGAAAGGGTGACAGCAGCACACTGGCACTTCCAAGCTCAGGAGGGAATACAATGGAATGGCTCTCAGGAGCGACTTTTCCCCATTGAAAACCTCTGGGAGAAGAGTTGTCCTTCTCTTCCCTACCCTCCTGTTTAGGAAAGTACGGAAGTCCCATAATGGTTTTCATCTTCCCCTTGTGGAGATCACTGGTGGTGGGTGTAGCTCCCCTTTTTCCTTTGTATCTGTGTAGGGTGACCAGACAGCAAGTGTGAAAAATCAGGACAGGGGGTGGGGGGTAATAGGAGCCTATATAAGAAAAAGACCCTAAAATCGGGACATCTGGTCACCCTATATCCTGTGTCCTGAAAGCAGCTCCTTCTGCTTGCTGCAGGGACAGGATGGTGGTGGAATCATCTACACCTGCTCCCTGCAAGGTGGGAGGGTCCCAGAGCTCAGGCTGCAGTAGAAGCCCAAACATGTACACTGCAATTAAACAGCCCCACAGCAGCCCGAGCCCTGCAAACCCAAATCAGCTGGCATGGGCCAGTAGAGGGTTTTTAATTGCAGTGTAGACATAAGGTTCGAGTAGTAGCCTCTCAGGGTGAATAGCCAGCACCTGCAGTAGCTCTATTGGCACAGAAATGGAGACAGAATTTGCCACTGCATCTCTTGTATGTCCTCTCCAGGGGCTGGCTTTACCTACCTGCGACTATAAGGTAAAAGGGCAACTAGTAAAATGCCCAGCATGGAAGGGTTTAAAAAGAAAAGATCTTGATTAATCTAATCTTCCCTAGTAAAAGAAAGCAACAAATGGAAGTCAGCAGAACTTAAATGACATCATAATTCTGACCCACCAGCTCTCCTTGGGCACTCAAGAAGCCTCGCACTTGGTTTCCTTTAATGAAGCACATAATGAGGCCATGAGGGAAATTTCAAGGAAAATAATTAATAACTGGAAGTTTCAGTCCCAGAGGCCACAGATGGTATTTCTCCAATATTCTCCATGTAAGCCTTAGACATCTCACAAGACCAAAACACAGGCAATTATAAGCCTTGAGTTTTCTGATTTTTTTTAGCTGAGCCTGGGTCAAACACTGCAGAACATTTTCAATAACTATAAACCAAGTTCACTTTCACCATGCTCACACTCTTTATGGGGTACACAATGAACCCTGGGTTCACAAGGGTGAGCAGCAGAGGTGGTTGGGAATTTTCAGTCAAAATTTTTTTTTAAATGGAAAATGCAGTTACTGCAAAAATCAAAATTGTCTCCCAGAAAATTTTGATTGTGACCAGAAAAAAAATTGATTTTCTGTCAGAAAATTCTAAACAAAATGTTTAATTTAGGGTTGGTTCAACTCAAATCAAAACACTTCAATGTGTTCAACTGAACCCAAAAGTTTTGTTTTGAATCAGTTTGACATTAAATTGCATCTGCCTATGGTTGTGCAGAGCCTCTATGGAAGTGTAGTTCAAGTGCCTCCTGCCCCCATTCTGTCCTATGGGCCTTGAGGTCATCTCGTCCTTAGTATTCACAATCTGCAGACATTCTAGAGGAAGAGATTACTGGCAGGAATGATCATAGCAGAACATTTTAATTGTGTGTGTGTTTGTTTGAGAACAATGTCTGAAAGTGAATTCTAAATTCAAACTAGAAACCTGATTCTCAGGGCAGAGAATATCCAGGAACAGAAATACAGCGTGTGATCTGTGTGTCTAATGAAACTAGATCAAATTTCAAATACTTGCAAAGAGCTGCTGACAAACACACTAGAAATCAGCAAAGAGTCCTGTGGCACCTTATAGACTAACAGACATGCATCTGAAGAAGTGGGTATTCACCCACGAAAGCTCATGCTCCTATATGTCTGTTAGTCTATAAAGTGCCACAGGACTCTTTGCTGCTTTTACAGATCCAGACTAACACGGCTACCCCTTTGATACTAGAAATCAGGATTCACTGAGGGTCTGCATACACTGCAATTAAAAACCCGCTGTTGGCCCACACCAACTGACGTGAGCTCACGGGGCTCAGGCTGTGGGACTGTTTAGCTGCGATGTAGACTTCTGGGCTTGGGCTGTAACCTTGAGTAGCCATCACCTGCAGTAGCTCCATGGACACACCATAGCCTGAGTGAGGAGCATTCAACCCACCCACTTTGGAATCCCCCTGCACAATGCTCATTTATTCAGGCATTGTGCAGGGAAGATAATTTGGTCCCAAATGCATAACGCACCATCTGTATATGAGCCTAGGTGTGCAATGAACTTAGAAAATACTTGGCAGAAGCATAATACATGAGAAACCTGCCCACACTGGTAAAAATGGAAGGACTGCATGCATGATGAAGGACCATGCATGCAATAGTGTCCTTAACTAGGCAAATTCTTTGCATTAAATTTTGAACAACTGATCCTTACATCAACCATATGGGATCCTTGCAGTTTGGCTCGCCAGCATGAAACCACTAGCAAAGGGGTCAATTAACACCTTGTAAATTGTGCTGTATTTAGCACACAGAGGAACCAGCTTGTTTCCATTGATTTCCATCTATTCCTCTTTTTCTAGCAACATTCAGAACGGTAGCCTAAATCTGGCTGAAGGCACCACCTCATGAGGTGTAGCTCAGCATCCAGAGCAGACTGCATGAGCACATTAGAAGCATCTGCCATTCAGACATGTTAGTTGGTACACCTGTTCTCCATTGCCATGCTCCAATTAGCTATGAGAATGGAGTTAGTTAGTTGGATTTGCAGTCACACCTGCTTATGTTACAGGTATCCATGTTGCAACTATACGTTATATATGTGTGCTTTTTGGCCCCAATCCTGGTGAACACTTACACAAGTGCTGATCTTTACTCGTGCAAGTAGGCCTATTGATTTAAATGGGACTACACATATACGTCAAGTTCAGTACTTGTACAAGTTCTTTTCTTGGAGCCTTTCTTTAAGTCACCATGTTTAGCCATTAGGTTGTTATTTTCAAAACACTATATTATTTAACACTGCGGTAGAAAAAAAATCTCAGGCACAAGGGAATACACTTTAATGAAACATCAGTTTGTTGTATTCAGAAGTAGCAGGGCTCAAGGGGAAATGCTTAAGTCAAATTAAACAAAATAATGGACTTCCTACTTTAAAAAAATGCTGTTCTAGAGTAACAGGTCCAGCGTGCTTCCTCAAAAGTAGTTAGATTAGATGTTTCAAATCATCTATTTCGAGAGCCACACAAAAAGAAGGTAAGAGGGGAATTTGAGCATTAAAAACTCAGAAATCCCTTCCCTTTTTCTAAAGATATAATTACCAAACTCAGTTTAAAATGATTCTTCC